ATAGCTGGCCAATCACAGCACACCTCGCTTTTTCAGACCGATGAGCTTTGTAAAAATCGACGCGTTTCAAAAAGGCGGGGCATAGAGGAGAAACTGTACTGAATAATGTACTGAATAATGTACAGTATGTGGAAAATAATGTGTTTTTTTAGCTTTAAACCGCATAAACACATTTCATTACACCAAATACACAAAATAATGTTCTTTTTCGCAGCATCATATGACCCCTTTAAGCAGCACAACTGTTTTCAACATTGATAATCATAAGATATGTTTTTTGAGCAGCAAATCAGCATATTAGAATGATTTCTGAAGGATCATGTGACACTGAAGACTGGAGTAATGATGCTGAGAATTCAGCTTGCATCTCAGAAATAAATTACATTTTAAAATATATTAAAATGAAAACAGTTATTTAAAATTATAATAATATTTCACAATTTTTACTGTATTTATGATCAAATAAATGAAGCCTTGGTAAGCATACAAGGCTCCCTTGCATTTCTGCCAGTCTGATGGCATTTCTCTTATGATAAATTCCTGCCTAAAGGAATTCTGGGTGTTTGTGGGTGGTGTTTTTGTGTTGAAAGGGATAGATAATCTGTATGCGCCTGTCTTGCTCGCTCTCTTCTTTCAAGATGAGTGTATAACAGTGAGAAGATGGCATCTACTCTCTTCCAGGTTGTGGCTATGAAGGCTTGTGCATCACAGGTCTTGTTAAACCGAATGAAGAATGTTCACTGAATCTGTTTCTGATCGTTCATTCTGACTCCCTCCCTCCTGTATTCTGAGCACAGCTGGGTGTCACATTTATGAATCGAGTAAATTAGATGTCATTTCATTCTCATTAGTGATGTTTGCTGGAGCAAGAAGCACTTTAACCATTTGCATCTGCAAAGTGAAAATTCTGTCATCATTTACTCACCCTGCCTAGTTTCCAAACCTGTTTGATGTTCTTTCTTCTGCAGAACGCAAAAAGAGAAAGTTTGAATTAAGTTCTAGTAATGCACACTTAATTCAGTCTTCTCCATAAAAGTACAAAGAACAAATCAATTGTTTGAGTCTGATCGTTTTCTAGTGAATCAATTGGTTTGGTTCACAAAGCAGAGTGGAATGATTCCAAATCGGACTGATCTTGAGTTCAATGATTCACTTCAGATGGTTAACAGCTCATTGGAGGAATAGTATGACTGAATTAACAACTTACATTTTGGTAAATTTTGTAACTTGAAAGGTTCAGTCCGTGTTCATGGTTATTGCATGAAACACTAACCAGGCTATTATCGGAAATTTCTTGTCATACAGGTTTGACAGCAACACAATGCTGAGTAAATAATGACAGAATTGCCATTTTTGGGTGAAATATTATTTCATTTTAAGGTTTTCATAAATTTAACGTTTTGTTGCTTAAATATTACCGTACCTGAGAAATCGGTTTTATGTTTTTATGAACATCCTTGCATCATAATGACAAGTTTTTAATTGTATTCTTTTACTTTTCATTTTTATATATTAATAGCTGTTAATCACTGTAGTCCATTTATTCTGACTGAACTGTATAAAAACAATATTTTAGTTGATTTATGCATTTAGTGTAAACTGTTGATAATATGCAAAATGATTACTACTTTATATCCAGCAGTCTGTATTTGTTGCTTTCCGTTTTTCCAAATTGTCCAAATTTTTTATTTTGTTTAGTTTTTACTTCTTTATATTATTATATATTTTTTATATTATATTTTTTATTATACTAATTGTATTTTTTATTTTACATGTTTCCTGCAGTCACAGTGAGACATAATTATTGGAGTTCTCCTTTTTGCTTCTTTTCTGTCGTGTCACTTAATAAGCAGAAGATGCCTGAAGGAAACTGCACAGGAAGACTGTCAGCAGCACTTCCTGATGCTCAGTTGGGGAAAGTCAGCACATTTTATGAGGTCACTGGCTATAAATAGTGCTGCCTCAGCCGGGAGGAAAAATGCCTGCAAACCAAGTTTTCAATAACTGCTGCACAAAGGGTGTCACTGAAGCTTATTCAGCCGTAGATCTGCTTATTTTGACTGTGTGAGCGGTTTCGGTGGGCGCTGGATTCTCGCGTCATTAGAGGACTGTTGCAGTTGTCTGCAATCATTGCTAGTGCCATCACATTCATGCCATCTGCCACCTGCTGCTTTGTGTGTCTTTTCTTTTCTTTTACAGTAAATATTATGCAAACAAAAATCAGAATATTCATCATTCATTGTAGTCCGTCTATCTATGACAATTTTATTTCTATCCAGCTGTCTGTATTTGTTGATTTATCTATTGACAGGGCAAACAGCCGATTCTCCATTTACACCCAATATATAGTGTTGTTTTCTCATGACTATTATATTTGGTTCTCTCTGTTGACAGCAAGATGTTGATGAGGATGTTGTGTGCTTTATAATGCTGATAAAAAGCTGTGAAGCGAAGACATCTGGTAGCCTCATTGACTTAAGAGGCTTTTTTTTAAATAGTGTGTGAAACAGTATGCAGTATACCACATTTAACATTTTAAACAGCTATATTATACATGTTTGAGTGAGTGAGTGATGTCCAGTAATGATTTTGGAAGTAAATGTGTCATAAAGGGATAGTTCACCCAGAAATGAAAATTACCACATGATTTACTCACTCTCAAGCCATCCTAGGTGTATGACTTTCTTATTTCAGACAAATACAATCAGAGTTATATTAAAACAATTTCTAGGCTCTTCCAAGGTTTATAATGGCAGTGAATGGCTGTTGAGATTTATAAAGGGATAGTTCACCCAAAAACGAAAATTGACGTTAATTACTCACCCTCATGTTGTTCCAAACCCGTAAGACCTCCGTTCATCTTCAGAACACAAATTAAGATATTTTTGATGAATTCCGAGAGCTCTCAGACCCTCCCATAGACAGCAAGGATCCTAACACGATCAAGGCCCAGAAACATAGCAAGGATATCGGTAAAATAATCCATGTGGCATCAGGGGTTCAACCGTAATTTTACAAAGCTACGAGAATACTTTTTGTGTGAAAAAAAAACAAACAACTACTTTATTCAACAATTCGTCTCCTCCACGTCACCCTAGCGCCATTTTGGAGAGTATCCACTGAACGTAAATTACGTATGCTGTTTTGTGTCCGCTGCACCATGCGGATACGTTGTTTTCGTTCAAATCAAAGAGTAAACGATGTAAATAGCGTATCCACGTGGCACATCTGACACAAAACGAATCCATGTGGCATCAGGGGTTCAACCGTAATTTTTCAAAGCTACGAGAATACTTTTTGTGCGAAAAAAAACCAAACAACTACTTTATTCAACAATTCGTCTCCTCCACGTCACCCTAGCGCCATTTTGGAGAGTATCCACTGAACGTAAATTACGTATGCTGTTTTGTGTCCGCTGCACCATGCGGATACGTTGTTTTCGTTCAAATCAAAGAGTAAACGATGTAAATAGCGTATCCACGTGGCACATCTGACACAAAACGACATACGCAATTTACGTTCAGTGGATACTCTCCAAAATGACGCTAGGGTGATGCGAAGGAGACAAATTGTTGAATAAAGTCGTTTTTTTTTTCTTTTGCGCTCAAAAAGTAGTCTCGTAGCTTTGTACAATTATGGTTGAATCCCTGATGTCACGTGGATTATTTTACCGATGTCCTTGCTATGTTTCTGGACCTTGATCGTGTAAGGACCCTTGCTGTCTATGGGAGGGTCAGAAAGCTCTCGGATTCCTTCAAAAATATATTAATTTGTGTTCCGAAGATGAACGAAGGTCTTATGGGTTTGGAACCACATGAGGGTGAGTAAATAATGACAGAATTTTCATTTTTGGGTGAACTATCCCTTTAAGCAAAGCAAGGTGCATAAATCCATCATAAAAAGTACTCCACATGGCTTTGGGTGGTTTTTGGGAAGTCGTGGCCTAATGGTTAGAGAGTCGTGCTCTTAACCCAAAGGTTGCGGGTTCGAGTCTCGTACCGGCAGGGAGTGAATGTACAGCGCTCTCTCCCACCTTCAATACCACGACTGAGGTGCCCTTGAGCAAGGCACCGAACCCCCAACTGCTCTCCGGGCGCCGCAGCATAAATGGCTGCCCACTGTTCCGGGTGTGTGTTCACGGTGTGTGTGTGTTTACTGCTGTGTGTGTGCACTTTTGGATGGGTTAAATGCAGAGCACTAATTCCAAGTATGGGTCACCATACATGGCCACATGTCACGTCACTTTTTAATAAAAGACTTCTGAAGCGAATTGATGCATCTGTGTAAAAAAAAAATCCATATTTAAAACTATAAACCGTAATCTCAGGATTTGTAAAGAAAAATGTCAGAGGATTTCGATATAAGCCAAGAGGAGACTGGTTTTCCTTTGCTGTAAACAAAACTTGGTTCTCGTGAGACTAGCATTTTCTCACTGGAGCTTATGCTACACCTACGTCATCTGCTTAACGCCACTCTTCACTCATTAACACGCGCACGACAGTTAGCGGAAGCTAGAGATTACGCTTTATAAAGTTTTAAATATAGATATTTTTCTTACACAAACACATCGAGTTGCTTCAGAAGGTCTTTATTAACCCCCCAGAGCGAGGGGGGTTAATAAAGAGTACTGTGGAGTACTTATTATGATGGATGGATGCACTTTTCTGGGCATCAAAATCTCCACCCCCATTCACTGCCATTATAAAGCATGGAAGAGCCAGGACATTTAAAAAAAAAATATATATAACTCTGATTGTATTTGTCTGAAAGAAGAAAGTCATATACACCTAGGATGGCTTGAGGGTGAGTAAATCGTGGGGTAATTTTCATTTTGGGGTAAACTATCCCTTTAACTTTGGGCAGCTAAGAAGGAGATGTTGTATTGCATTGTAAGGTTGGGTATTCTGCACAGTATGCACTGGTTCTATACTAAATGTTGGTAATTCTGGAATATTGGTAAAACTGATTATTGTCTATATTAACTGTTTCTCTCCCTGCAGTGTTTGACTACAGCTATCGGGACTATATTCTGTCGTGGTACGTCCCCTTGAGTCGAGATGAGGGCCAACTGTATCAGATGTTGTCTGAGGACTTCTGGGAAATGACCAAACAGTTGCGAACGCGTTTGTCTGAGGTAGACGTGGTCAACCTTGTCTGTAACGACATTGTCAAGACCCTTCACACGCACTTCTGTGACCTCAAGGCTGCTAACACAAGGTGAGACATTCAGCACTTCTAGTGGTTTAATTGAGATGGACATACAATTGTTACCATTGAATGCATATGCACATTATCCATTGTCAACAATGTCAGTGGACTTGTAAACGAGGTGAAATTCTGAATCTGTTAACTGGTTTGTTTTTGGCATGCTTGATTATTGTCCAGGACAAAGCGTTATTTGTTATACTGACTGGTACTTTATTTTAGGGCTGTTAAGCGTTTACAATTTTTACTCTAATTAATTAACGCCTTCTCATGAATGTTGTTTAAATTTAGTGCAAATGTAAAAATAACCACATTCTATAGTGTATTATGTGCATATATTACCATTTAAAATTTTCGGGTTAGTGAGCTTTTATTTGTTGGAAGAAATTAAAAACCTTTATTCAGCGAGGATGCATTAAATTGATCAAAAGTGACAGTAAAGACATTTAAAATGTTACAAAAGAAAATTGAGTATAGTAATTAGGGCTGTGCAATATATCGAAATTATTGAAATATGGCAAATGTACATATCGCAATATGCATATTGCTACAG